CCTTTTATGACTCGGCTAATTCCGCTCGTTCGTGGATTGCGCCCCGCGCGTCGGTTGGGCGGGAGGAGGGTAATCGTTGGGTATTATTATTATTATTACAAAAAGATGATAAAGAAACTTCTTTTCAGGATTTACCATAGCTGCTTGATAGATTTCTTCATTAAATCTATTAATGGGGGGAGTCAAGACCACCTTTAAACAATATTGAACTCGCTCTTAGTTTGGAACTTATGTTAGTTATCGCACTTTATACCGATGCATTACCTGCACCAAGTTTCATTAATATAAAAATTTAAAAATTTTGAAGTTCAAAATTTCACGTGGATTTTTATATGTATCACCTATAATAAATGCATGCATGTGTTAATTTTTTAATTGAAACAGAATTGCTCACTGAAAATCGAACTGCATCACATTGTTGGGTTATCTTATTGATTAAGTAACTTTTAAATAATTGTACCGTTTTTCTTACAGGTTTGAGTGGTTTACAGAATTGGGACTCCGTTGGTATGCTGTACCGGCAGTTTCGTCGATGCTCTTTGATGTGGGCGGTCTTCAGTTCACAGCGACTACATTCAGCGGTTGGTACATGTCAACGGAAATTGGTTGTCGGAATTTGTGTGACGTAAATCGTCGAAATATGTTAGAGGTGAATATTAAAGATATTACCTATTATATTGATAGGTTATTATGTAAATGTTTATATATTAGTAAGTCATCAGTTAGGATTGAAAATGTTCGGTCCGACAATGAAAAYATATTTTCGTGGTAAAAACTGGTTTTCGCGCAAAAACTTGTGTTTTCGTCCATGTAAAATCTGTCCAACGAAAACACATTGAAAACCAGTTTTCGCTGAAAAATACTTGAAAACCATTCATTATAATCGGTGATCTAGTTTAATCGATATTTTTGGAAGACATATTTTGCCGTCTCTAAATTGTCACTTGATATTTGTTGAAACCTATACACACGTTTAAACAACATGAATTAATCTGTCCCAAGGTCGTTTATTAAATTTAATACCATTAAATGTTGTTTTTTTGAACTCCGCTATCTTTTTTGCAAGGGAAAGGTGCTGGGTAGTAAGAGTTTCCAACAGTTCTCTTGAAGAATTATTGTTGCGCAAGGTATTTATATGGCACCCCCTAATTAGGTGTTTTATGCTTAATTTTAAAAAAATATAACATTATTAGAAGGAAAATTATTATGGGTTACTAGTAAGTAAGGAAGGTTAAAGTTCGGAAGAAACAGAATATCTCATACTCTTGCAGTTTACTAGGAATAAAGACAGGGAAATTTTTCTAGTGGGTATACAAAAATCATGATATTTGTGACATGGGGAATAGGTAAAGTTTTCATATTCCTAAACTTTTCGCCCGAATTTATCCATTATAGTCATGTTAGAAATAAGACACTCTCACTTATGTTCATTGAGATAACTAACATATTGGCCGATGCATGTGGTAGGAAAATATTTCAAAAATTTAATTTTTTCGACACTTAAATTTAGCATCCAGGCAGGAGAGGGTTTTATAGAAGCAGGTGTTAAAATTGGGTAATAGGCCAACCAAACATAGTTTGATATAATCTAAAAAAAGGCAAAAGTTCTTCGTGTTCGATATCAGGGACCTTGAAAAGTTATAGTCCGATCACGACAATTTTTCCACAACTGATACCTCAGCTTAAATACCGCATTTGTGTAAAGTTTTATTCCGCTATCGTCATGGATTCCTAATGGATATATTATACAGAGAAGGCATCAGATGGAATTCAAAATAGCGTTATATTGGAAGAAGGCGTGGTTGTGAACCGATTTAACCCATATTTCGTACATGTCATCAGGATGCTAAGAAAATATTATATAAAAAATTTCATTGAAATCGGTCGAGTATTTCCTGAGATATGGTTTTTGGTCCATAAGTGGGCGACGCCACGCCCATTTTCAATTTTTAAAAAACCCTGCGTTCAGCTCCCTTCTGCCATTTCTTCCGTAAAATTTAGTGTTTCTGACGTTTTTTGTTAGGCACTTTTAGTGATTTTCATCATAACCTTTGTATGGGAGGTGGGAGTGGTTATTATCCGATTTCTTCCATTTTTGAACTGTACATGGAGATGCCTGAAGGAAACGACTCTATAGAGTTTGGTTGACATAGCTATAGCAGTTTTCGAAAAAATTGCTTTCAGATATGTCCATCCATAATGCGATCCTTTGTGCCAAATTTCTCTTTAATATCTTTATTTATGGCTTAGTTATGACGCTTTATAGGTTTTCGGTTTTCACCATTTTGTGGGCGTGGCAGTGGGCCGATTTTGCCCATCTTTCAACTTAACCTTCTTATGGAGCCAAAAAATACGTGTACGGAGTTTCATCATGATATCTCAATTTTTACTCAAGTTACAGCTTGCACGGACGGACGGACAGACAGACATCGGATTTTCAACTCTATTCGTCAGCCTGATCACTTTGGTATATAAGTTAAAACACGTATTGTTAGTTTTATTAAAAAAAAATATTTTCTTGGAGCTATGCTCCTTTATTGAGTTTCACTGAAGAACTAAAATTTACAATTAATTATACTTAACTCTAGGCCTATGTTTGCCGCTGTAACGGGTATGAAGCTGCTGACACTGCGCTTCCCACAGGTTGGCACTTCGCTGACGCTGTGCTAGTGGTGTCATATTATATTACTTTGTATCATATGATATTAATGCATCATATGATACTGTTTGAATGTATGCGGTGCTAACTAGTCCCTCTTGAAATTCAAACGTCCTCGTTTGAATCTTTAGGTGTATTGAAAATTTGGTTGAGTCCATCTATTGCCTGTTGTCACAGTTTATTTGGTTAATCTTCTTTTTGTTCGATCAAAAGATTCTTCCCGAAAATTAATGCGATGACATTAAAAAGACGATTAGAGTGATTCTGGTTCCGTATTTGACTCTGTTTTCTGCTTCTAACAGACTTACTTCTTTTGTATTGTTGAAGTTAAGCTGTTTCAGCATCTCTAGCGAGAGGAATTCTCCTAAGTTGAGTGGTGCGGATTATAGAACTTTTTTCCGTTGACAACAATGGTTACGTGTACAAAATGATGAAGGTCCCGTTTAAAAATGTAGTTTCTCTATTTATTGAAATTTCTCCGTTTTATTTATTTAGTAGTATTATTCCAGGTCTCATTTCCTCTATAGTTGGGATATGCCTGTTGTTGACCTTCGTGCAGTTTGGCAAACGACTTTCTAAAAGGTTATTTATACAAGTATCATTACTTAAATCTACTACATTATTGCTTAAGCATATTTGTATTTTTTAMAATAATTTTCTATTCCATAAATTACTTTTGCGCAGTTTAAAACTGTATTGAAATTGATTTTATTGATTCTCCCGTTATTTTTTACTGCTCTAATATCTAAAGTTTTACAATTTTGGTTATCTACGGTTGGGAGGCTAACAATATAAATTATAATTTTGCCATTAGTTGCAATTTTTACTTCGGAAAATTCGAGTGCTTCATCTAAATTAACATATGGAATATTGTCATTGTCTATTACTTCTTTCGCAATATTTATTTCTTCCTTAATTATTATTTGTATTTTAACTCTAAAAATGCTTCAATTCCTAAGCTTTTTTCATTTTGCATGATTTTCATTATATTATTTGTAATATTTGTTATCTCACAAATTTTGCCTATTGTAAGTTTGTTAATTAATACCTGATTATTGTTATTTTGTAAGACATTATTTATTTTATTTGAAATCCATTTCCATACGCTACCCAGGTAATTTATTGATCTTTTTTTATTTATTTATTTTTATGAAATMGGATTATAAATAATTACATTATATTTAGTAAGGCAACTAGTAACTAAGACTATCGGCCTGACTTATTACTAAAAGATTTTATATTTTATTATAAAATACTCTAGAATAAAATAATATTAAAAAACTAACTATCGAAGTAAATAAATGATTACACAAGGTGCAAAAGGTTACTTTGGTAAATTAAGTTAAAGATTTTTATACTCTCGCAACAATGTTGCTAAAGAGAGTTTTATAGTTTTGTTCACAAAACGGTTGTTTGTAAGTCCTAAAACTAAAAGAGTCAGATATAGAGTTATATATACCAAAATGATCAGGGTGACGAGTAGAGTTGAAATCCGGATGTCTGTCTGTCCGTC